GGGGGGGGGGGCAGGACACAGAGAAGCCTGGAAGGGCCACGTTTCAGCCCATCTACCCACCTGTCCAGTCTCGCCTGAGAGCGGGGGGAGGCCTGGAGAGGCACCAAACAGTGACAGGTGTGTGACGTCCGGTTAACCCACAGCCCGCGTGACCACTGAGTGCTTGGTCCCCAGTGGTAACTGGAGACCGTGTCAGGCTGACCTTCTCTTTCTCCATTTCTGGGTCGACTGCAGGATCAAAGTCTGCTCTGCAGTTGCTCCCTCCCTCCCGAGCCTCCGGTCCTGCCACGCGGAGGCTCCTCTGTCACCCTCTGTCAGGCACCCGCCTGCCACACCCCTCCTCCACCCTGGTTCTTCCGGCCCCGAGCCAGAGTTTCCTTCATAACTGGGGTTTGTGAAGCTCCCTTAAAACCACCCTCTGTGTCAGCCACAGCAGACAGCATCTTGTGGATAGGGCCCCTGCCCCCCTTCCCAGCTGGTGACAAATCTGCCACCCGCTGTGGCCCAGCTGTGGTCATTCGGGGCCGAGGTGTCCCCATCAGGACCAGGACTCCTCGCTAGCCACGTTGCTGTGGGCGCTGCTCCCTGAGTGCGAGGAGGGGCCTGCCTGAGCGCTCCCGGATCTGCAGCCCCTGGGGAGGCCCCTGCCGCCCGTCACTGCCTCGCTGTCCAAATGCCAGTGCCCTGCGCTTACGCCCACGAGACCAGATTATAGAGTTTCTCCCCAGGCCCCATGTCAGGTCCAAGCGAAGCCGAGCGGGGCCCATCCAGAGCTTGCCACGGGCCCTGCAGGAGAGCGGGAAGAAGCCGTTTACTTGCAGGGCTACGTGCTGCCTGGGCCGCCTGCGAGGGCCGAGTCCCTCCCGCGGCACAGGACCCTGCCTTCTGCCCACCACGTGAGATGTGGCCGCCTGGCCCGTTTCCACCGCGTCAGCGACCGTGATGGCAGCCGCAGCAGTAGTCACAGAAGGTTCCTTCTCACGGGCCGCAGGGTCTCACCAACCTCCTTATGGCGCAGGAGCAGTAGCCCCCGCTCCCTCCTCCCGCGTCACCGCCAAGGGCCCAGGACCGTCCCGGCATTGACGCTGATTCGCTGTCTGTCACACACGCAGGATACCAGAGCACAGGAGCATCATGCTGTGCTACTCTTGCGCTGTTCTTGCCTTTCTGCTCATTTAATTAAAGACAGCTCGGCGCTACTTTGTGGGGAACCTGTTTCTCATGTAAAGTCCTTATTTGTTTATAACCAGACATTCCCCGCGTTCCCTGTTGTCTTTTTTTCCCTGTAACTTAACCGTCGATGGGAAATTCTGCCGTGGTGGTTACTACGGGGACACGGTGGTCACGCAGCACAAGCAAGACCCGCAGCACTTCACAGAGGCGACTGGCAGTCAGGCCACTCGCGCCTCCTCCGAGGAGCCCGGGGCACTGCATCCGTGCTGGGCGCTGGGCTGGGGGAGAGGCGTGGGGCTGAGGCGGGGCAGGCGGCAGGAGGGCGGGTCCCGGGGGTCTGATGCGTCCCGGTCTCCCTCGCAGACGCTGGACCTGTCCAACAACCAGCTGAGTGAGATCCCGGCAGAGCTGGCCGACTGCCCCAGGCTCAAGGACATCAACTTCCGGGGGAACAGGCTGCGGGACAAGCGCCTGGAGAAGATGGTCAGCGGCTGCCAGACCAGGTCCATCCTGGAGTACCTGCGTGCCGGGGGCCGCGGGGGCTGCCGGGTCCGGGGCAAGGCCGAGGGCCCCGACAGGGAGGAGGCGCGCAGGAAGCGGCGGGAGCGGAGGAAGAGGGAGTGCGGCGAGGGCGAGGAGGCGTGGGTGGACGAGGCCAGCCGGCTGCTGCTGCGGGTCCTGCACGTGGCCGAGAGCCCGGCCCCGCTGACGGTCAGGGTGAGCCCCGGGGTCGGGGACGTGCGGCCCTTCATCGTGGGCGCCGTGGTGCGGGGCATGGACCTGCAGCCCGGGAACGCGCTCAAGCGGTTCCTCTCCTCCCAGGTGGGTGCCCGCGGCGCGATGGGGGCGGGGAGGACGGGCCGGGGGCGGGGCGACCACCGCTCCTGCCGAGCTCCTGGGCCCGGCCCGGGTGGGGTGGGGTGGGGTGGGGTGGGGTGGGGAGGCGACCCGGCGCAGTCAGCGTCCCTTAGTCTCTGCTGTGCGGGTGGGTTTCTGACTTCCGCAATAGGTGACATGTTCAGTCTCATATGAGAGAGTGTTAAAATCGTCAGCCCTTGCCAACGTGTTCTTGGGTGACTTGTTTAGTGTTTGTGAAGTTTCAGCTAGACAAACTTAGAGTTCGTTGATCTGTGAAGTCTGCCCAGCCTTTAAAGCAAAAAGCACATCCTTGCACGTGGGCAACCCCGAGCGTGGCCTGCGGGGCTGAGGCTGTACGTACGTACGGGGAGGAAGCCAAGCCAGGAGCTCAGAACTCGAAGATCAGTGTTTTGGAGGAAAAGCTTGCTGGGGTTGTTTTTAAGTCACACTTCTGCTTATTCAGTCATAAATTTTAGCTCGAGATGGGTTCTTTGAAGTCTCAAGCATTGCACAGCAGAGTTAGGGCGAGAAGAAATTCTGCTGATAAGCAGATACCAGCTTTCCAGCGGAGGTTCCACAAAATAAATACTTGTCTGGGGAGGCTGCTCCGGGGGGGCTGGGGTGGCAGGGGCTTGCCCTCCGGCCTTGACATACTGAGCTCTGCCTGCCCTTGAACTTGTATTGCAGACAAAGCTGCACGAGGACCTTTGTGAGAAGAGGACGGTGGCCACCATCGCAACCCACGACCTCAGAGCCATCCGGGGGCCCCTGCTGTATGCCACTCGCCCCCCAGAAGACCTCAGGGTGAGGCCACGCATCCCGATGTTCGCAGTTTGAGTGTTCCTTGTGTGTTTTTCAAAAAATACACGTGCAGGTGGTTGAGTCAGAGCATTTTGGGTAGAATCTGACCCTTTTCTGCTCCCAGCAGGAACATAAAATAAAACAGGTTGTGCTGACAGTTACTTGATAAGTAAACTCATCAAAGGAGGTGGTGATTTGAAAGTGGTTTCCTTCACCTGCTCGCTAACTTTTAACCAGAAATTGTGGTTTATATCCCAGTTGCAAACCCCCTGATCTGGGGTTGACCGCAGTGTGAGTTCTGCCAAGGCCCCGCTCCTGGTCTCTCGGGTTCCGCATGAAGCACCTCGGGCCCCCGGCGGAGGAGGGTTCCCGGGGGGCTGGCTCCGGCCGCTGGCCCCATCTCTTCCCTCGGCCCCCTCAGAGCCACAGGCATGGAGCCGCGGCTGTGCATTAGGCGGGTTTCAGATTCAGCCCCCGGGGTGACCTCTGAAGGCACAGTATATCTGCACGTGACATGGGGACAGCCTCTATCCTCAGCTCGCTGGACGTCCACCTGGAGGACTGTCAGCTCTCAGAAGCCTCCCGCTGGGACCCCCAGCGACAGGCCAACGTGCGGTGTTCACCCCGTAGATCATCCCCTTGGGGCGCCGGGAAGTCAAGGCCAAGGACCTGGTGCGGCAGCTGCAGCTGGAGGCGGAGGAGCACAGGAAGCAGAAGAAGAGGCAGAACGTGTCGGGCCTGCACAGGTGGAGCCCCTTTCATCAGCCTGTGCCAGTGCGGGCACTCCCGCAGCTGCCCGAACTCAGGAGACCTCCCCAGCGTTCGTTCACACTCCTCTCGGGTTCTTGGGGGCGGGGGGTGGTAGGAGGATCCCCCGTAGCCCCGTGTCGCGTGGCTTCAGAGAAGCAGGTGCCAGGAGTGCGGGCCTTGTGTTGTCTCAGAGGGGGGCCCTCCGCATGTCCACCAGGTGCACAGGGAGAGCGCGCCACGGATGAGGGGCAGCCAGGCCTGCTGCGCTTGATCCAGGTCAGGCTCGGCTGGCTCGGGCGCCGGGGAGGCCCTGCGAACATCTCCTCTGAATTGGCTTGTGTCACGTGCCCTTGACCTGACACCTACTGTGTCCAGAGAACTGCGATTCGTCCACTCGCCTTTAGGTGTGTTTCCACAGCTGTGCCTGTTACCGGTATTTCTTCTCACCCAGGTACCTTCACCTGCTAGACGGGAAGGAGCATTACCCGTGCCTCGTGGATGCAAACGGCGACGTGATTTCTTTTCCGCCCATAACAAACAGCGAGAAGACGAAGGTAGGCGGTGTCTGCCAGCGTCTGGCACCTTTGAGACCGCGTCACGTGTCGCGTTCACGCGTGTGGCTGTGTGTGCTCGCTGCCGCCCATGACTCGCCACGTGTGCCGCGCCCCAGTGTCTGTCTCCCCTCAGGCGGGCGGCAGTCCGGATTTGTGTGACACCGTCTTACGGGGTTTTCTGCAGATTAGACCTTGCAGTTGCTGGGGTCTGCTTGTGATAACTTGATTCTTTCCTGAAATCTTTCTAATTTCTGTTTAAGATTAAGAAAACCACTTGTGACCTGTTTCTGGAAGTGACGAGCGCCACCAGCCTGCAGATTTGCAAGGACATCATGGACGCCCTCATCCTGGTGAGCGTCCTGCCCCGCCCATCCTGCCCACCGAGGCTCTGGCCCCGCGGGACAGACGGCGCGTCCGCTGCCCTTTGCCATCTGGGTGACGGCAGCCTGTCTTCCCTGGGTTGCCTCTAATCTCTCGGTTGAAAAGATATTTTTCATTTGCAGAAAATGGCAGAAATCAACAAGTACACTTTGGAAAACAAAGACGAAGGTTCCCTCTCCGACCACGAAGTCGATGCCATTCCTGGACAAGTCCCGGGCCCCAGAGCGACTCCCGGTGCTGAGCAGGCTGGGAGCGCCCCGCTGGTGGTGGAGCAGGTCCGGGTGGTGGATGAGGAGGGCCACCTGAAGGTGGTGTATCCGTCCAAGACGGACCTGGACCTCGCTGCCGCCCACGTGACTGTGCTCCGCTGATGGCCGGGCCACTGCCCCAGGCTCCCAGGGAGGCACTGTCGGCTGCACCGGCTCTGCAGGGCTTTCGTGTGGTGATATTAAATTATTCCTTCACCTCGGTAGTTTTTAAGATATATGCATTCTTTGTTCAGTTTTCCAGTCGATTCTGTCATAGGGGGTGCCACGTTGACATGCGCTGAAGTCATTTCACCTTTACAGCACCGAATTGACTCTGCCAGTGCTTTTAATGAAATCACTTGAATATTGGAACTAACTGCTCAAAGGGTTCTGAAGGCATGTAGCCACACAGCAAATCACTGTATTCACAGGGGGAAAGGAGACTATAATTGGTGTGAATATTTAGTTCTAAGTTGAGAAGCTGAACAACATGCATTTTACTGAGCTGCACAGTTATTTTTCTACAATACAATATCTTTTAAAGTCCTAGGGTTCCAGCACTGCAGCTTAGAAATGTGGGATGTCATGGTTTCCAGTTGTTGTAAACCGTAATCTTTTTATAAAAACATTTTTTAACGTGACCTTAGAATTGGCAAAATCCTTTTTCTTACTGCTGCTGTAGGATGCTTTGGGGGTGGGAGGCAGGGCTTCCGGGAGCGACGGCCCAACCCGCCTGCTGCACTGGCCGGACTTGGGGAGGGCGGGGGCGTCAGTCGACTGTAAACCAGCACCAGGGCCGTGAGGTGTCACACCTGCGTCTGGAGGTCAGTGTGCAGGTTTCCCACTGCAAAACAGGCTTCCATGCTCAGGGCGGTCAGCCGTCATCAACTTGCTCCAGGACGGGGGTGGCAGTGACTGGAGGAGGCATGGGGAGTTTGATGCCAGGAATCATGGAGCATGTGCCGGACAAGGGCGTCTCAGCATCTGGCATTCTAGGTATTTCCAGCTCTGAGTCGGCAGTTCACTGACCTCACTGCTCCAGGAGCAGCCGGCACAGGAAAAACTGACACGCCAGCTTTTTTTTGTTGAGTGAACTTGTGTTCCATGGTCTTTGACCTGCAAAGGACAGTTTATGTGTTTTGTCAGAATGACATGCGGCTGGCAGGCATGTGCGAGAGCGCCCCCCCGGACCCAGGCGCGTAGCAGTCAGAGCCAGACCCGCGTGAGGCCCACACCCCACACGCCGGGCCTGCTGTACAACCACGTGGGTTCCCCAGGGCCCGGCCAGCCCTCCTCGAAGGACATGGCGGGGCTGCCTTGACACCTGACCCAGCTCTCTGGTCACTGCCAGGACTGCCCTTCGTCGGCCCTGAGGCAGCCGTGCTTAACTGGGCTGAAGTGGACACCAGGTGACGGTGTTCCCCAAACCTACCTGACATCTGTGTGCATCAGTGGCTCAGGGTTGTCACTTCATGACCCTCGGGCCATCAAGGCCGCAGATGCTGCGGCTGATGTGGGCGTGGGCATTACGGCGAAGCCCTGCTGGGAGCTCCGGGTTGGGGCCGCAGCTGAGCTGCCCTCTTGGCACCAGGCTGTGGCTTCGGCGGCCGCGTGGCACCAGGTCTAGGGCCGCCTTGATGTTGGGGAGCAGCCGGCCCTGCTGCTCTTCTCTGGTGCAGTTTGGTTCCGTGTGAAGTTTGGAAATGTATTCAACTTACAGCAGAAAACCCCTTTGACGTTTCTTTTTCTTTGTCAGCCGACCCTCTAATAAAACCATTTAGAAGGAACATCGCGGCTCCTTCCCTGTGAGTCCTTCCTGGGATTTCTGGAGGTGCGTGTTGGAAGTGTCTGTGGGGAAGCTGAGGACCTGGGACCCTCTTGCCAGCAAAGAGTGAGAGGCAGTTATCTCCCGTCACTCGGGCCTGGCCCAGAGAAGCTGCTGCCCTTGATCCCTGGGTCCTGGGAACCTGCTCCTGTAGCATCACCAGGTGGACCCCACCCCGGGGCTTTCCCAAAGAGGTCAAGTTCCTGGAACCCGCCTCCAGCAGACCCCAATCCTGAATCTCCTGTGGGGAGGGGAGGCCAAGGGTCCTGTCCCGTCCTCTCCCATCCCTCCCAGGGCTGTCGGGACGCCACCTCCACTCTGGCCACTCGGGTCTAGCTGGGGCCCCAGGGCACGTCTCTCTGAGATGGCCCGTTGGAGGAGTGTGCCCCGCGTGCCCCTGCCTGTAGCCCCCCACCTGCATGGGCCAGGCATCTGGTGCCAGTAGGGCCTGGGGCAGGGGCTGCTGCGTCTCCCCCAGGCTCTGGGCTGGTGCACCCAGCTCTCCATGCTGAGACCTGCTTGGCCGTGGGGCACACAGGACGTGGCCAGCCAGATCCAGGCCAGACCCCAGCACCGTCCACGGTCCACGGCCGCCCGTAAGGTTCCCCCCGATCCTGGGGAGCAGGCCTCGTGAGGACGCTGGGTGTCACCCAGCGGTGCCAGACTTAGCCGGACAGGCTCCGAGGTCACTTCCTCTCCCCCAGCTCCCGCTGCTGGCTGCCCCTCTTCGCCCCGTCCCACCTCCCTGCCTTGCCTCAGGCCAGTCACATGTGACCTGTCCATCCGCAGACCTGCCCCTCACCAGGGGCTACTCGGGGAATGCGGCCCTGGAGCCGAAGAGGCCTCGGAGGGAGTGGGGGGCAGGGGCAGCGGGGGCCCCTCCCTCCTCCCTCTGTCCCACGCCCTCGCCCCACTCCTGGCCGAGGCTGCACTGGGCCTCGGGGAGGGTCAGCCCTTGCACCTCCAGCGACGACCACCGACCACTGAGAGCCTCCGGAGGCCACGCAGCCAGGCCAGTGGCCCCTGCCCGCCTCCCCACACCCTCCACCCCAGTGCCCGTCCTGAGATAGCCAGAGGGGACTCCAACTGGGGTGCTAGGCTGAGGCCAGACAGGTGCGGGCCAGCTGGGGCCCCCTCCCTGGTTGTGGCCAAGCAGGTGGGGGCAGAGTCTCTCCGGAGACAGGTGCTGAGGCGTAGAGACCAGGGCGGCTGGGACAGACCCTCCACCACTGCCCTTAACCTGCTTGCCCTGCCCCCTGCCCCGCAGCAGGCCCTGCTGAAGCACCGCTGCTGGGAGACCCCAGCCCAGCAGCAGGCTCAGAGCCAGGGATCACCTGGGTGGTGCAGCCCCACCGCATGCCCGCCCGGCCCGGGCAGACTTGCAGTGGGCCCGCTGTGCCCTAGGCCAGTCCCGTGGGGTCTCTGCCCTCCCTGCCAGCTTGGCCTCTGACACCCAGGTTTGCTATGAGCCATAGGGATCCTGACTGTCCCTCGTCTCCTGCCCTCAGTTCTGGGGTGAGGATCAATTCCCTAAGAAGGTGTTTCTGGCAAGGGGCTGCGGGGTCTGGGGCGTGAGTTCACAGCAGGCGAGGGCCAAGGGAGCCGGAGCAGAGCCGGCAAGGCGCTGTCCATGGTCAGGAGAGGCAGGAGCAGGTCCAGCCACATGCGCGCCCGCAGGGCTGCCCCTGTGCTCCCACCTCCCGGCAGAGGGCCTGGCCAGGATGGGGCACGTCCCAAGGCCCAAAGCCAGCGGGAGGCTCACAGGCCCTTACCCAGGCCTCCCGGCCGCTGTCCAGATGCCCTCCAGCTGCCCTCACATCGGGGGCCGTGAGTCACGCCTCGCCAGGGAGACCCACGGGAGACCCACGGGAGACACCGTCATCCGTGTTTTCATTTCAACAGACATTTAATGACGACCTCTGTGTGCAGGGTCTGGGCCTCCTACAGGGTGCCGGCGGAGGGGCCGGGCTCCTGCAGGACCCACTCTGTGGGGTGGACAGCCCTGGGGAACGTGTCCATCTCCCTGGAGGGAAGATGCAGTGGCGGGTCTGGGACAAGGGCTAAGGCCCCTCTACACAGGAAATGACTCAGCCCCCGGGGAGGGTGGACGGACAGAGGAACACACATACACCCCCTCAGAGCCATCCTTTCACAATGGGAGTCAGAAGGGCCAGAGAGGGCAGGGGCCTGGTCAGGGCCACACAGCTCTGCACAATGCCCACCCAGGGAGGACCCCACCCTGGGGCTGGCAGGCCTGTGCCCTCGGCTGCGGGGAGGAGGGGAGCTCTCGGGGCCCTGGACTGAGGGCCTAGCCTGGGTGTATCCTGCAGCCCCAGCTCAGGCTGGGCCTGGTCTCCCAGCCACGTGGGCCCCTGGGTGGCTGTGTGTGCTAGGCGTGCACATGTGTGTCCCTGTGTACCCATGTCCCTGTTTGGCTGTACGCCTGTGGATGCCTGTGACAGCTGTGCACAGTGGTGTCCCCGTGAGCTTGAGGCCAATATGTGTGCCCCCTGTGCCCCTGGAGTCTGTGCACTGGTCGGGGGGGAGAGTGTCTGTGTGCATGGTGAGGGGCTGTGTACACAGAGGGGAGCCTGTGTATAGAGAGGAGGGTCTGTGTATATGGGATGCTGTGTACACTGAGGTCCGTGTAGACTGGTGAGTCCGTGTACACGGAGGGGTTCTCGCACACGGGGCGTCCCTCCGAGCCCATGCCCCTGGGCACATGCTCTGGGCAGCGTTCATTTGCACTTGTGCACGAAGTAGCCGGTGGTGTAGCCCAGGGTGAACACGACCCAGAAGAGGGCCACTCCACCCAGCACCTTCAAGGAGATGCCCAGCTTGCCCGAGCACAGCTTCCGGGAGACCCTAGAGTGAGAACCGCAGGCATGTGAGCCCCCAGGCGGCCCCCAGGGTGCGGGGGGGGCGGGGAAGGAGAAGGAGGGGGGCCCAGGCAGGTGGACTGCGGAGGAGGGCAGCCCGGGGGGAGCTCTGGACTGGAAGACAGGAGGGAGGGGCGTGGCGGAGACACCGGGGAAGGTGTGGGGCCCAGGTCAGCAGAGACCGCCTGGGGTGGGCGCCCAGTGGGCGCAGAGAAGAGGCTGGCAGGAAGGATGGGAGGGGCCTGCGTAGGGCCAGGGGGGCCCTCCTCCCAGCCCCTCACCTCTTACAGCCCGAGGCCTCCTGTGCGCCGGGCCCGCTGGCCACGCTGACTTCATCCCGGCTGCTGTCCTCCCACCTACTGTACTGGATGCTGCTCTCCTGGGGCTGCATCCTGGGGGCCACGGGGCTCTGGCGGGAGGGGCAGAAGGTGGGCTGAGCCTCCTAAGACACACTGTTCCAGACCCGGTGAGGCCAGAGGCAGGGTTCGTGTGGCCCTGCTTTTGGGGTGAGGGTCTGACTGGGGGCCGTGACCGGCCAGGTGGGCTGGCTCTTTGCCTGCATCCTCTCATCCAGCTTGGGAGGTGACCAGGATGCAGAGGGGTTAGGCCACTTGTCCAGGGTCACGTGGGAGGAGGCAAGAGGGAATTCCAACAGGGAGTCTGAAAGTCTGCCAAACCCTGCCCTTAGGAATGCGAGTGGCTGCTTTTCCACCCAGCCTGCTCCCCCAGGGCAGGGGTGGGGCCTCCAGGCACAGCTGCTGCCACCCTGGAGGGCCCCTGGTGGGGGCCAGGTCACCAAGCCTGATAACTAATGGCCTTCCCTCCTCCCATTCCTGCCAGATAAGGCCCCAGAGCCATCCCTGGAGGCTGGGAAGGAAGGGGCCGGGGACAGGGACGGGGCAAGCGGGGCAGCCGGACTGGGGGCAGCTGGTACAGCCTGTCCAGTAGGGGGAGGAGGCCTGCCTGGCCTGCGCAGCAGCAGCAGCTGTGTCCTCTGGCCTATCCGAGTTGCAGCCCCTCCCTCACCCACTGCTGTGCCCTGCTGGGAGTCCAGGGGCTGGGACTTTGCTCAGCTCCCGCCAGCCTGGGAAAACCTGACCTTTTGTCCAGGTAATCTGGGACACAGAGGCTTAAAAGCACAGTGAGCCACTTAGCAAGAAGCGAACCCAGAAACTCAGGAAATCAGGCAGTTCTTAAACCCCCGAAATGGTTCCACGTTTGCCCTTTCCCAAATCCCAGGCCCATGGGTCAAAGGAAGGGAGCTTGTCTCAAAGCCACAAAGCCTGTCCTTCCTGTGGGATCCTGTGCTCTGGGGTAGCCATGCAGGCCGGGTCTCAGGCCTGGGGAAGGCCAAGCATTTGTTGAGCGTGGGTTCTGCTTTCCCAGGGTGTGTCCAGGAAAGGGGCTAAGGGCCAATTCTGTTAGCTACCTACCTAATGTCCACCCCCTCCCTCCTGTGGCCAGAGTCCCCATCTTGTTCCAGGCAGCAGTGTGCCAGCCCAAAGTGACAGTCATGGGCTAAGACAAGCTTAATACTCTGACCCCTGCTTTCCCATGTCACCCAGATGTGAGCAAGGTGCTGGGGTGCAGCAGGGGGTAGGAGGATTTTGCTTTCATGAACAAAAGAACAGCCACTTCCTTCTTCCTGCCTTGAAGTGATGGCTGGAGCTGAGCAGCCACTTTGCAATCTGGATATCCTGCCACACCAGCCCAATGGTGCTGAGTCTCCAAAGCCACACCAACTGCCCACCCATGAGCTTCTTGATCTGAGGAGGGTCAAGCTCAATTTGTGCAAGCCTGGGACAGTGGGTTCCTGTTATTTGCAGCAGAGCAAGCTCCTGACTGACGTGGATGGTGGCCCTCAAGTAGTCCTGGTTGGAGAAAGCCACCAGAAGCTGGTGAGGTGCTGGAGCTGAGCTTCTGAGGGCTTCATTCACTTGCTTGTAATGGTCTGTCCAACTCACACGCGACGGTCACACAGTGTCACAGGACCCTGGGGCTGTGCTGCCTGGCAGGGACACCTGCTAAGCCCTGGGACCCTCAGGGGTACCACCGCCTCCTGGGAGTGCGTGGGGACAGAGAGTCCTTGGCACACAGGGGTTGCATATACATTAGACCCCTTCACCCCTAAGGGACCTCCAAGGAGCCCACAGCTTACAAGGGGAGAGTCCCGGCGTTGGGGGTCGAAGCCTCTGCGGTCCAGGAAGATGGTCAGAGCCCGGTCAGTGATCTCACCTCCTCCCAGCCCGCAGTTCGGGATCTGAGGAGCCTCAGATGCCTCCAAGCTTAAAGAAAGACAGAAAATAAAGAAAAGGTGAAGAGGAGCGAGCGGCGCTGCCAGGGGCAGGGAAGGGAGAGGGGCCCTGGGGCGTCCCGGGCGGCCAGCAGGAGCAGCGAAGGCAGTTAGCCTCGGGGTCTGTGGGCCCGGGACAGCCTCGACCCCGCCCGCACCCCAGCAACTCCTCTCTCCCGGGCCGGCCGCTCGCAGAGGCCGCGGCCTAGAGGGGCGGGGTGCTGACGAAACCAAGACCACCACCTCCTTCTACTCGAGGAAACCGCACGCCGACCCCGTGTCTCACCTGGCTCGACAGCCCCCGGCCGC